GGAGAGGGAGAGGCGAGAGGGAGAGAGAGAGAGAGAGAGAGAGAAGAGAGGAGAGCGAGAGAGGAGAGAGAGAGAGAGAGAGAGAGAGAGCGAGAGAGGGAGGGAGGGAGAGAGAGAGAGCGAGAAAGAGAGAGAGAGATGCCACGCGTAGTGGTGGTACCTCATACTGTGTCATTTACTTGTGAGCCAGCAGTCCCTTCGCGACAATATCACACATCTATCTGAGATTTGACAGTACAAGCAAAGGCTTATCCGACGCGCCGCCTCACGTCGCCGACGTACTCGGCGCGCCGCGACCCCGACGCCCGCGCTCACGTCGGCCAGACTCGCGCCGCGCGAGCGCATGTCATCACAGACTAACAACGTCACGCGCATGTCATCACGGACTAACAACGTCATGCGCATGTCATCACAGACTAACAACGTCACACGCATGTCATCACGCACTAGCAACGTCACACGCATGTCATCACAGACTAACAACGTCACACGAGTGTCATCACGGACTATAACGTCACGCGCATGTCAGATTTACCACCAGCTTTTTTTGGGCCTATATACATTTATAAGATGTAACACGTCACTACAACGTGGCTGGACAATACCTATGAGGTTGACAAGAGCATCTAGTTTCTCCGGTATGTTACTGTTTGTTCGCTGCGTGTTTCGCATCGAGAGTGAAGTGAGCTCGGTCAGAGCTGGAAGTTGCCTGCAACAAAAACACACACAAATGAAGTAAGAGGAGCTCAGCGAGACCTGTAAATTGCCTTCAAGACGTGCACCTCACCAGAAATGCACTGACGCGTGTGGAGAAATACAGTTAAGAATGCAAGCAAGAAATGCATTAACAAATAAGGATAGCATAATAACTAGAAAGACTACACTAATAATGTCAGTAATGCCTTGATCACCTCAGCTGAAAATGTTCCATTGGATTGTTATCAAGGACCAGCGTCTGCAGATTTATCAAACGTCGAAGTTGTGGTGGAAGGGTTTCTGAAAAAACACATGGTTGTTATGAAGTGTATCTTAATAGACAGATAGATCACTGCACAATATAAGTAAGCATTTTGTTCACACAGAATTTATATAATTGCTATTTTCAGTCTGTTAAACAAAAATCCATTGGAAGATCCTTCACTAAAGCAAGGTATAAGTATAACAGTAACTGAAATCTACACAACCTTTTCCTACGTCTGCTGTAATGAAAGCTATGCATGACTCCCTATGAATATTCCAAGCAATAAGTTATAAATCTGCATAAAGTGGAGACAGACAAGTAGAACTTACGATCCATTGGTAGAGTGGTCCTACTTACCTAGTTTATTATAACTTAGGTCCAAATACAATATGTCCACACAATTGACAAAGAGCTGGTTCGGTATTGTTGAGATGCTGTAAATTAGAAAACCGCGTAATTTACATATACATTCACTGGATGCATGAATCTACCTGTCAAAATAACATGAGCAATATAATGTAATTAATTTATACATAATCAAAATTTTCATGTTTAATTAAATTAGAATATATATCTCACTTATTATAGGGTTATTGGATTAAGAAATCTGATGCAATTGCATTGCAAAATACAACTTACTTATTATGACTCAAGTTCAAAACCAAGATGGCCTTTGCATTCTCCAAACTGCTTGGAACCTTTTCCAATTCATTTTGACTAAAGTCCTGTAAAACAGCAGTTCAGCATGCTAACTAACATAAAACATACTGCAAGTTAATCATATCTTGGGAGAATTACAATACACCTAGTGCCTACTATCATGCTCTTTGTAGTAATACAATATTGGCAGTGTAAATGGCTACTGACAAATCCAATCTGGTACAGATTATACCTACCACGACAGTGAGTTCCTCCAAAGCGAATATTTCGCTCGAGATGTTGCTCGATTTTAGCTTGTTGTGACGCGCGTTCAGCACTCTTAAGGATGAGAGTGAGGCGAGATCCCCGCGTAGGTTTGTCAAATCGTTGTCCACCAGAGACAAGTGTTCCTGTACATTGTAAATCCAAAGAAACAATGTTATAGCTACTACAATATTATAGTTGTGTTGAAGCTATTTAATTGTGGAACATTGACAGTTTATTTAAGGCGATTATTTGCAAGATTATTGTGTGTAATTTATTGTCCATGTGCTGCACGGGGTACTTCCTCCATTTTTTCAGTTTTGCAATCCACACAACCTCTTCCAACATAAATGATAAAGCTCAATATCAGAAGACTGTTAGAAAATGGTATTTACCAGTTTGCTCAGGTTCCTTAGCTGGTAGGGTACCGAGTCTAGGTTTGTCTTGTTGATGCGGAGCCATCTCAAGCTGGACAGATCAGTAATGTTTGACGGAAACTTCCCATCCTAAAAACAGTTGATAAAATAAGAAACGGGGATCACCTCGGTGATGCACGGATGTGGTGTCGTAGCACAAAAAATGTGTTTACTTCTTAGGCTACCATCCTCTGGTTGTACATTCAATAACATAATCTATCAGAGATGCTATGCTTGGTTACGTTTGTGCCCTGAACTGCAAGTTGAAAAACAAACTTCATGATTGATGATAGGGCACTCACACGTCACAGTAACACTAACAGTCAGACTGCAAGTTACTGAAGTTAGTCGTCGATTTTTGATGGTAACGTTTTGACTCTCTGGGACCGGGTAATATGGAAGTTAAACTTCCGATAAACGTTATGATTAAGATTCAAGATGCGTAATGTTATGAATAATGATTAATGACGTAAACATACAGTAAAACGCTAACAAATTGTAAACAGCTTCAAGGTGTACCTTCATTCTAGAGTTACTATGTGCGATCGCACAGTGTCAGTAAGCCTAACGCACAATTCAAAGTGAAATTTCAATACACTATAACATAACCGTCAGAAACATAACATAATTACTAATAAATAATAACCTTAAAGTCGTTTCTTGTAAAGTCAATGCCGCGAACGAACGGCAAAACTCCGGTCGCAGCCATTTCAACTAGTCAGTGACACCTGGTGGTAATAATTCGGTGGTTCCCTTCGCTAGATGGGCTCAATCTCCGTGAGATCCAGAGATCCACTTGGCCCGCGACGGCAACGTACGATTTGATGCCTGGAGGCTGGAGGACAGAGGGCAAGTCTACAATACATGCCTGTCGGCGTTTCCGTAGACTGGTACTCGCTCCCTATGCTCGCTCCTACCTCAATTACTCATCGAGTTACTAAGCCGAGAAGTGGACCCGGGTACCAGTCTAGCGTTTCCGGAGCTCTGGTGGAGGCCGCGAAAAACAGCGCGTCTGTAGTTTCCGAATCACTCCCACGTATATTGTCTATTTACGTTTGTAGCTTACATTATGTGCGCACTATAGTAGTGATCGTGGGTCAAGCCTCATATTAAGGTACCGTACTTCATTCTTCAATCGCGTTGTTAGATTCAGTAAAAAATATAGGCGTATTACATAAGCCCTCGAAGGAGAACACGCAAATGTGCAAATGTGGACAGCTCTTATATCCTTGGGCCCATTCATCCAGTGATGCACCCTCTTCAGTCCAAATTCTTACCATGTCTAGCTCTCCCATTACATGTTCGTATTCGGCCATTCGCTCTGCCATTGGCAAAACCTAGCTAGTGTGATACATTGGATATCAACCCATATCTCAAGTGAGGCAAATGGCAATACTAATTTAATACTACTGATTTCCGATAACACCGATACATGTAATGATGTATGCTATATACAATGTAACACACAAAATGTTGCAAAATAGTCTGCGTGTGTATAACCAAGCATGCACTCTGTATAATATACGTACATTATCCCAAGGGCTTATCTACATACACCCTTCAGTGGGATCAAATGCAATTGTGCCTCCGCTATGCCCATATAGTGGAGCAATTAATACAGCAAGACTTAATTGTCCATCCTTCAATCCTGGGCCGAGACCGGGGGGGGGATGCGATTTAACACCCAGAAGTGTTACATCCTGCATGCAACACGTAAAAAAAAGACGCTATCGTACTTCTCTGAAATAGATGGAAAATTTCTCCAGGAGGTTGAGTCAACTCGATCTAGCTGTATCTCAGTGTAATTCTCTCTTACACCCTGAAGTGGGACAAATATATCAATAGTTTATGTGCGAAAGTCAACAGCACCCTTGGCTTCGTCAAAAGGAATTTGAAATACGTGCCCAAAACGCTGAAAGCCACAGCATACAAATCTCTCATTCGGTCTAAGTTAGAGTATGCCTGCACAGTCTGCATGGGACCCACATTTAAAAAAATACATCGAAAAAATTGAAATGATCCAACGCCGCGCAGCTAGATTTGTCTGCAACGATTATGGCAGAACCAACAGCGTAACTGCAATGTTACAATCACTTAATTGGCCGAATCTTCAAATACGCCGTAAAGAGAAGCGACTCAACCTTCTCAACAAAATTCTCTGTGGAAGTACTGCGATCCTCAAAGTCCAGTACATCAGGATGGGTCCATCGCGCACAAGGAGCAAAAACGACAACAAACTCGCAGTCATTAGAACCTCGACAGAGGAATTCACGAACTCATTCGTTCCACGGACTATCGTGTACTGGAATGCCTGCACACAGACCGTAATCAACGCCATCTGTGTCGCGGTCGCAGCCGGGAGCGCCTAATTTTACCATGCCCAACCACCTGCGTCATAATACGCGTATACGCGGTCGACGCAGTACACAATCAAGATCAAGATATCTACAGTTTCGATATTGGATATTATATAAGTTGGTTATAGTCATTGGCTTATATGTTTAGATATTTTTTCATATTTCTAGGGCATCCAGATATGGAGTTCTTTCCGCTTGGCAATGCGGAGCTTGGAATACGGACTTTCCTGACGTCTGTCCATGCGAATGATCAATGTGGCAGTGATGGCTTACCGCTCACCCCGAATTCAATTAAAGTTTTTGGCCGTTTTCAACAACTAAAGGACATCACACATCCTAACCTGTGCAGATACGTGGACATTGCACGTGGAAAACATGGTATAATGAATATATTATACTCAGTTTTGTTAAGCGTTTTTAGTTACTAGATTAACTTAATCTCATTTCAGTTTGCCTTTGCTTAACTCAGTTGACATATATTTATGATGTACACGT